ACATTGGAGTGAGCAAAAATCATTAGTTCATCGCTATGCATATAAATTAAATATAAATGACAGATTACAACATGAACATGAATCAATCATATATCACATCTCCTAATCACATCAATACTCCTGTGCACATCTATTGTAATATACCATTTCTTGCTAGTCAATTATTCATGCATTATATGTGTTAACATGATAAAAGTTCACATTTTATTATGTGCTTGTTTTCAAAAGATTGATAATAAATATATATACATATATATTATTGAAATAAATTTATGAATATTTATATATATATATTTTATTATTATTAATATATTGTTGGAAAAGAGCAAATCGCCATTGAAATGCAAGATCAGAAAAGCATGAGAATATTGAATAACCTTTGGATAATAGACTGCTGCTGCTTTCACATCCATACAATGTATATATACTAGAGTCTAAAGAAGTAACCCTAAATTGAAAGCAAATAGAGAGATGGCACGTGGCCCGAGCTCCATGCAGGTACTGTACAACTAAGAGCTACACAACTCATGCAAAATGCCAAAAATTGTTATGGCTTAGGGATCGTTTGGGATGTTATTCTAATACCCCCCCTCAATTCGAACGTAGATGCCGAGTGAACTTGTAAGAGAGACTGCAACCGAGTGAAGAATTGACCAGACAATGGTTTGGTGAAAATATCGGCCACTTGATCGAGAGAGGGCACATGATGAACTTTAAGCAGTTTGTGGGCAATTTGTTGCCTGATGAAGTGAAGATCGATCTCTATGTGTTTGGTTCGAGCATGTAGTACTAGATTGCTGGCCAAGGAGATGGTGCTGAGGTTGTCTATCCAAACCACTGGAGGATGATGTATAGAAACATGTAATTCTCTTAGAAGGGGTTGAAGCCAGGTCAATTCAGCAGAGGCATGGGCAAGGCTGCGATATTCAGCTTCTGTGCTAGATCGAGAGATTGAAGCTTGTTTCTTGGAGCACCAAGATATAGGGTTTCTTCCAAGATAGATGCAGATGCCAGTGATGGACTTTCGGTCATCAAGATTAGCTCCCCAGTCAGAATCAGAGAAACCTTTTAAGGTTGGAGTGGAATGCTTGGTGTAATGTAAACCGTGAGTTAGAGTGCCTGCTAAGTACCTTAGAATTCTCTTGACAGCTTTGAGGTGAGAATCTGTGGGTGACTGCATGTATTGACAAACTTTATTTACACTAAAGGCAATGTCGGGTCTTGTAATGGTAGCATATTGCAAGAAGCCAACAATGCTCCTATAATGTGAGACATTTTGCAATGGTGAGCCTGTGGATTTGGACAAGAGAGGTGCGGTGATCATAGGTGTGGCAACTGGTTTGGCATCAGACATATGCATTTTGGAAAGAAGATCTTTGATATATTTTGTTTAAGAAAGAAACATTCCATTTGCAGATCTTTTAACTTCAATACCCCAAAAGTGATGAATTTTACCTAAGTCCTTAAGAGAAAAGGACGTACTGAGTTGGTGAATAATGGACTCCACTGCAGAAGCATTGCTACCTGTGATGAGAATGTCATCAATGTAGACTAACAACCAAATAGTAGAGTGTGAAGCCAAGGTTATAAACAACACCCTTGAGCTTAAGGAACCAAGCACTTGGAGCTTGTTTGAGGCCATAGAGGGATTTCTTGAGTCTGCACACTAGGTTCTCATGTCCCAACTTTTCAAAACCAGGAGGTTGGCACATATAAAGTTCTTCATCAATGTGGCCATGTAGAAAAGCATTGTTGATGTCCTATTGTCTAACTTTCCAGTTGTTGGTTAAGGCAAGAGACAACACAACTCTAATGGTAGTGGGTTTCACTACTGGACTAAATGTCTCATTAAGATCAATGCCTGCAGTTTGATTGTAACCTTTTGCCACTAACCGGGCTTTGTACCTGACTATAGAGCCATCAGCATTGTGCTTGCGTCTAAACACCCATTTGCAGCCAATAAGAGGTTTGCCACTTGGCATAAGAACTATGTCCTAGGTGTTGTTTGAAGAAGAGCTTGTAGCTAAGAATGCATGGCAGATGTCCATTTTGGATGGAGCAATGCCTGTTGGGGAGTACTCGGTTCATGGGAGTCCAAACTCTCCATTAGAAAGACACTTGGCTTGAGATTTTCAGTCTTTGACCTAGTGACCATGTGATGGTGATTGCCATGTTCACCTGCAGGGTTAGTAGAGGAAGCAATAGAAACATCATTCATAATAGGCAGTTGCACTATAAGGGGTATGGTTGAGTGACTGGTTGGTGATGATGAGGAGGGAGTGGTGGGTTGAGAGGATGAGGAAATGGAATTTTGATGTGAGGGTGAGGGAACAAAAGAAGATGAAGTAGACTGTGGGGAATGGATTGGGGAAGTAGGATCAGGTGGTGATGGAGGTTGTCTGTGAGTATTTGATGAGATAGAAGGAGTTGTTTGTAGAATTGGAGGAGAAACAGGTATGGAGCTAGAATAAACAGGTGATGTAGTGGAGCATGAGGCAGTCGCAAAGGGGAACTTGGTTTCATCAAATACAATGTCCCTTGTAATGATGACTTTGCCAGTAGGAAGTAAAGCCTTGAAACCTTTGTGTTTGGAGCTGTAACTGAGAAAGGTGCTGGGAAGAGATCTGGGTTCTAATTGTGTTTAGTATAGGGTCTGAGATTAGGGAAGCAAAGACATCCAAAGATTTTAAGATTATTATAGTTTGGTTTCTGGCCAAGAAGTTTTTGCATGGGAGATATGAAATCCAAGCTTTTGACAGGTAGTCTGTATATGAGAAAAACTGCTGTACTAAAGGCATCATCCCAGTGAGATAAAGGTACATGAGAGTGAGTGAGGAGAGCTAAGCCCATTTCAACTATTGTTCTATGTCTTCTCTCAGCAAAACTATTTTGAGCTGGGGTGTAAGGACATGAAAGCTTATGTTGTATGCCAGATTCATTAAAGACTTTTGTGAGGGGTCTAAACTCACCACCCCAGTCACTTTGAAATGCCTTTATCTTGTGATTAAGCTTGTTTTCAGCAAGGCTTTTGAAATGAAGAAAGGCATTTGTGACTTCAAATTTTTGTTTTAGAAAATAAATCCAAGTAAACCGTGTGGTGATCAATGTAACAGACATAATAATGAGATCTTGATTTTGAAGTGATGGGAGAGGGTCCCTACAAATCAGAGTGTATAAGAGCTAATGGAGTATTATATTCAGTGGTTGAAGCAATGTAAGGTAAATTATGACTCTTAGCTTGCTAACATGAAGAACAAAGAAACTTTTCATTGATAGAAAAAAGAACATTACAACTTCTGAGGACTTTGATCACTACATCCCATGCTGCATGTCCTAATCTAGAGTGCCACAGATCTAGATTGGTGTTTTTATTGCAAGAAACTAGAAAGGATCTTGGATTTGACTGAGTTCTGGAATAGGTTGCAGAAGAGGTGATGAAGGGCTTGGAACCTTGAGCATCAAACATGTAAAGGCCATCTTTAAGAGATCCTCTGAGAAGAACTTGTTGTGTTGCTAGGTCCTTCACAAGACAAAATTCAGGGTGAAATTCAAAATAAACTGAGTTATCTCTAGCAAATTGAGATACATTGATCAAATTCTTTGTGATGGAAGGTACATGAAGAAGATTTTTAAGTAACAGAGGTTTTGAAGATGAGTTTGATTTGAATAGTGAGCTGCCTATATGAGAAATGATCAAACCTGTTCCATTACCGACTTGCAGCTTGTTGTGGCCATGAAATTCTGAGGCAAGGTTGAGATTAGATAGCTCATTGGTGACATGGTTGGATGCTCCTGAGTCTGCAAACCAGCTAGATTCTGAAATTGTGTCACTGTTAGCAAAGAGCTGAGGTGTGCCTCCATTGAAAGTTTGAGCAGTGGCTGTGTTTGCTTGCATGTTTGTAGGTCTAGGGTAAGATTCATCAAATCTGTGATAGCACTTATCAGCAGTGTGGTTTGATAGTCCACAGACTTGGCAAGGAACCCTTGAGTTATTTTTAAAGACTCTACCACCTCTTCCTCTTGAGTTTCTGCCTCTTCCTCTAGAGGTGAAGAAGTTTCCTCTTCCTTGACTTCCAGAGTTCCAGTTCTGATTGTTGTTGAAGTTCTGACTCACTAGGTGTGCAGAGGGAGTTGTGCCATCCATGTTAATGGTTGATGTGGTAGATGGAGAGAAAAGCTCAAGC